GCGATTTTTGCAGTAAATTTATTCTTCAACCCATTTATCCGAAACGAGACTCTAAAAGATTGAGTGCACTTTTAAAATTGATAACCTTTATAAAGTCTGAAGAAAATATAAAATCTTTCTTACTTTGTTGTGAGCAAGAAAATTGAAGAAGAAGAACTTAAATAACGAGTAAAAATATAAAAAAAAGCAAGTAAATCTTTAATAAAAGACAGTAAACTGCTATGAAAACCGCAAAAATCTACTTGCTCCAAAAGATCCAATTGTTTTCTTAGGCGTCTTTGTCTAGTAGCTTCATCTAGGACTCGGTTGCTTTCATTTGCATTCAGACGTCCTAAAGAATGACTGTAAAATTGTGAAGATATCTACAAGAGAAGTGAATTGATTTAACGGAATAGGAGCTTTAAAAAGTGCTCCAAGTTAAGCTATACAATAAAGCCATAGTAAAAAAAAAGAAACCTGATTGTCGCAAATTTGAGCGTACTGCTGCCATACTATACTGTAGACGCTAAAATTAGTTTTACATCAAAAAAAGATCTAAGAATTAGCGAGCAATTAATAAAATTTCCTAAACGATATAACCATAAGTAGATGAAGTTTTCTGGCAATTTTCAGGAAAAATAATAAACCATTAACAATATAAATGCCAAGCAATTCAGCTGTATGTGTTCATCAGATTTACAGGTTTAATTCAGCAAAAGAAGACATTTTTTACCAGACATTTTAAAAAAAAAGATAGATCAAGGCTTCAGATATAGAATGTCGATGTTGCTCAATGCTACAAACACTAAATAAGATCAAAAAAGTAGCAATTTTCTCATTACTTAGTGATAATAATATCAGCGATAAATATGAAAAAATTTAAATTGAAAAAAATGAAATTTTGTCAGGTTGCCAAAAGCTTTTCGTTTCAAGAATATCTTTTTCTATAGTTTTTTTGCCTTTGTTTTCTGCTGGAATCATTCGTCCAAAAAATTTTGTTGTGATCATCATCACCAGATTTTTGCCGGGGCAGTAGGTCTAAAAGTTTGACTTTGCTGCTCCATTTTGTTTTCTGTTCAAGGTATTGTTTTTTGTCTGCTTATAGTTGAAAATCATAGCAACAACAAGAGGTTAAGGAAGAGAATTTTTTGTTTTACGAAGTTTACGAAATTTATCGCTGAAGAGAGTGACTTTAAAAAAAAATGTCCAAATTAAGAAGTTTTATGGAGCAGCGTCAGTTTTTTCGGTATACTTTTTTCTGCGTCTGATAATTTATTTATAATTTTTCTAGTTCAGCGATTACTTGGGGACAAAACGTGTATTGTTGATGACAGTTTGTTAATCTTTGTTCCATTTCTGCCCGTTATTCTGAAATTCTTTTTTCCCATTGTCAGGCAGTTCTATGGCCACTTTTCAAAATCGTCGCTGAATTAACACTATCAGTAATTGACGAACAGTGACTGCTGTTTGCTGGTAACATGATAGTGTTGTGTTATGGACTAAACTAAGATTGGTAAGGTCGCTTTAATACTTGTAGCGTATGTGTCCCAAGACGGGAATACTGCCATTTGGACAGACAACCTATGAAACGGATCTGTGTTACACTGAAATTAGGGTATTTGTGTAATAGTCAGTCCTTTATTGTTTTCAGTTGGAAGTCGAAGTTTGAAGTTTTTAAAAATAAAAAGAACTTCCGAAAGAATCTGAATTCTGAGGATGTTGAATGTCGAAATTGTTAACATATCTTTGGATCCAGTTCTTTTTAGCTTAAGGATGCGTGTTTGGCTCCACTTTAACAACCTTATTCGCTGCACGGTTCCTAAAAAGAAGACAGATTGCATTCCATCTGCAGATAATGAAGATGATGCAGCTTTACGCTAGTTAGAACTCTCGCCATAAGTGCGGTTGTCTTTGAAAGTTTCGGTTGACAACTAGACTACGTCTGAGTGGCGGAGGAGGCTAGATCGATGTTTGAAGGAGCGAGTTTTGACAATGTATATATGTGTAGACACATGGCTATCTTTGCGAGGCTGAACCGCTGCCTGTGAGAGGCAGGCATTTGACCAGCCAGTTAAGCCCTGTTGTGCAACCGCATTGCCTTTAGAAATAGGCACAAGAGAAAGGAGGAAGTTAAAAAAAAAAAAGAGATTCAATCGAGGAACTTCTGGCCACAAGAAAATCACTTTTGGTGACGTTAGGGTCTGTTTTCCTTCACATTTGATGAAAGCAACTCTTGACACTACTTCAGTAAAAAAAAATAGGTTTTTTTTTTTTTTTAAATCAGTTTTGAAACGTACTGTGGCTCTCTTATGAAATGTACTTTGTGTTTGCCAAACGTATATGTAATTTTAAATTTGGTCTTATGACGAATTTGAGTTTTAAGCGAAGTCTTAACTTTGCCTATTAAGTTTTCTGCGGAAGGAAAAAGTTCCAATCAATTATTTAAATGATTTATTTTTTCTTATATATATATATATATA